ATTTGAACCTGGGTCTTCTGCAAGAACAACCAATGCTCTTAACTGCTGAGCCATCTCTCCAGCCCCCAGCCCACAACTTTTTTTAAATGTAAAAAGTAATCTCACAAATTGCTAATGCTCAACCCAAGTGTTGGTGTATGTTTTGCTTGTTTTTGTGTCTCTTTGGCATCTAACAAGGTTTCTGAAATATAGGTATGACTGACACTTTTTGGTTTACCACATGGGTTTTCTCTGGCATTCCCTGGTGTGTTTGAGGAAAGCTGCTCTGACTAAAACAATTTTAGTAAATCTCATTGGATTTTCCTCTCTGATACGTCTTTAGTATTTCTTTCATGAATATTCAAGTACTTTTATAATAGAAGATTCCTGAAACAAGATTGTAAGGAAACCAAGAATGTTGATAACCTGCAGTCAAAATGTCAATTCACTTATAATCCACTTAGTATTCAGTTAGACTTTCTTTTTGAAAAAGAAAAGGCAGGGGCTAGAAAGATGGCTCAGTGGTTAAGAGCACTGGCTGTTACTGCAGAGGACCTGGGTTCAGTTCCCAGCACCTACATAGTGACTAACAACCATCCATAATGTTAGTTCCAAGGCATCTAACATCCTCTTCTGGCCTCTTTGGTTATTGTGTTCTTGGATACATTTACATATATGTAGACCAAGCACTCGGACACATTACATAAAAATAAATTAAAAATTTAACAAAAAATAATCCTCAATGATACTATGAAAAGTAAACAAGTAACCAGGTTTCTGAGGTCATCATAAGAAATATGTTGTTTTCCCTCACATGGAACCATTGCCTGTTTGTGTAAATGGAATAGAAAAGCCCTGTAGCCTTCCTGGTGACATCTTGGATATAAACAGAATCAGTTGGTGTGGCAGATGATCAGTATCTGCAATGCAGTGTACTCCTTCAAACAGTTGTATATTCATTCTGGATTATCTCAGTATAAGTTAAGATCTGTTTATGGGAAGTAGTATGAAAGAAGAGCTAGAGAATGGTCATTGAATTGCTTTCTGTTTGGGCCATCATTTGGCTCATAGTCTTCAGCCTTTCATAAAAGAATTTCTAATAATTATGGGATAACCATTCCAAGCTACAATTACATGAAGGAATTCTCAAACTCTTTTGAGGATTCAATGATGGGATGGTTTAATTTGAACACTAATCTCTGGTCCCAGTGAAGGCAGTTCATATCACCACCGTCTGTCTTCAGAACTGCTTTCATGACAAATTGAAGCTCAGACACACTGAGCAGTAATTCCACTTCTCCCTCCTTATTTTTTGGCTTTTTGAGACAGGCTCTCCCTGTAGCCCCAGCTGTCCTGGAACTCACTGTGTAAAGCAGGCTGGCCTTGAACTCACAGAGATCCACCTGCCTCTGCCTCCCGAGTACCAGGACTAAAGGCGTGCGTCACCACACCCGGCTATAGTCCTTTCAAACACCGTTTTGCTCTCTGTTTCTATGAATTTAAACCACTCTGTGCCTCATATGAATGAAGTCACACAGTATTTTTCCTGTATGACTACTTTACTTTACATAATATTCACAGTTCTATATTGCAATATGTGTCAGAATTGCATTACTTTATAAGGCTAAACAATATTCCATTGCCACATCTTATGCGTTCATCCTTCAGTAAATACTTGCCTTCCTTTTACCATTGACTATTAAGAATAATACTGCTAGAACATGGGTATACAAATAGCTCTTCAGATATGTACCCCAGAAGCACAGTTTCAGGGCATCTTATAATTCTTTTTTTAAGTGTTTGAGGAACAACCATACTATTTTCCAGTGTTTGCACCATTTTCCAATGCATAAGGGTTCTAGTATCTCTGCCAACCCTTGTTATTCCTCCTTCCCGCTGCTTTTTTGATAGTAGTTACACCAATAGGTGTGAAGTAGACCTCATTGTAGTTCTGAATTGCATTTCCCTACTAATTAGTGGTATTGACCATGTCTTTATATGTTTATAGATCTTTCCCACATCTTCTTTGGAGAAATGTCTATGCAAGTCCTTTGCCCTTTTTAACAATATTTTATTGTTTTTATTTTATGTGCATGAGTGTATTGCCTGCATGTATGTCAGTGCACCTGTGTTGTGTAATGCCTGTGGAGGTCAGAAAAGAGTGTTGGATCCCCTGGATCTGGAGTTGCAGACCATTGTTAATTGCAATATGGGTGCTGGGGACTGAACCTAGGTTTTCATCAAGAGCTGCCACTGTTCTTAACCACTGAGCCATCCCTCCAGACCTTCATTGCCCATTTTTAAATTGGGTAGTTTAGTTTTGTTATTGAATGTTGAGTTCTCTTTATGCTTTAGTTATTAAGCTTTATTAAATATGTGATGTGTAAAATTTTTCTCCCATTTTGTGGTTTGCCTCTTCGCTGTTCTGGTAGCATTCTTGGATATACAAACATTTTTAATTTTTAAAGAAGTGCCATTTTCTCTTATTACCTATGTCTTTGGTGTCATAGCCAAGAAACTGTACCTAAATATCATGAACGTTTCCCCTATGTTTTCTTCTAAGGTTTTATTTTCGTAGTTCTGTATTGTTGTCTTTGATCAGTTTGGACTTAATTGTTGAAAAGTCTATCCTCTCCCTCAGTAAAGGTATCTTCATTGAAAAGCATTTGACCATATGGATGTAATTTTACTTGGGGGCTCTCTACTCTGTTGCATTGGTCTTCACACCTTTCTTTATGCTTGCCTCGCCATTTGGATAACTGTAGTTTTATAATAAGTTTGGAAGTCAGGAAGTGTGAATCCTCCAACTTTGTTCTTGTTTTTAAAACTCTTTGGTTTGGTGGGGGGGGCGGGTTCTTGAGATCCTGTATAAATTTGAAGATGAATGTGTATTTCTGCCATTGAAAATATTACAGTGATTACATTAAATCAGTAGACTTCTGGTTGATGTTGCTACTATTTTAATAATATTAAGTCTTCCAAGTCATGAACTTAGGAAGCCTTTACAAACATTTGTTGTTTTTAATGATTTCTTTTATCAGTATTTTATAGTTTGCATTGTAGAAGTTTCATTTCCTTGGTTAATACCTATGTATTTTATTCTTTCAGATGCTATTTTAAGTGAAATTGTTTCTTAATTTCTCTTTTGGATAATTCTTTCTTAGCATATCAAAGCACAACTGATTCTGTATGCTGCTACTTGGCTGAATTGCATAGCCTTTATAGGTATCTTCCTACCTCCAAGGATGTTTTCTTTGTGGCAGATTGTTTCCAAGCTGAAGGATGAAATACTGGTAATGGAGAAGGAATGCACAGACCTCCAGTTGCACATGGCGAGAACAGATTGGTGGTGCGAGAACCTAGGCATGTGGAAAGCCTTCATCACCAGTGCAGAGGTAGTGGTGCTGCTCTTCTCCCCAGATAAAGTTCTTTAAAAATAAGACCTGTGTCTGGAGAACTAAGACTGAGGGTAGACAACTATCCTCATCTTTTAGCCATGTTTGTCCACCGCCCACCTTCCCTCATATTTTCACTCTTGGATGTCCATGATTGGAGAGTGTCCCAGACTGCATGGTACAGATCTGATCTCATTCCACCTCAGTCACAAAGCTATCCTTATTCATTGAATTATAAGCAGGTTTGGTATGGGAACATTTAATGACCTTGAATTACTGATTCTTTTCTATTGATGACTGAAATAAGATGGAAAGTACTTTTGAAAACTTGGAGATGAATATTTAAAAAACTTAAGTATGTTTTATTGTTCCATTTTGTTGATTTAGCGCTCAGAAGTTCTTTAATAATGAATATTTTCCTCTTGATAGTTAGCCCTTCTTTGAAGGGCATAGAGTAACAATTTGAAGAATATGCTTTATCCCTTTTTTCTTTTACCTATTCATTCTATCAGTGTATGCTAATTAGATAAAATAATGGGTTTCATATGACATTTTAATATGTGTATATAATTTACTCTGATTGTTTCACCTCCATTACCTTTTCTGTTCCCCACTGTCTCCATTTTCATTAGTTTATAAAATAACTTCACTTAGGAGAAAAACTGCTTCTAAGCATTTACTGTATATGGTTACTGCTGACAGCTCCTTCCTTCCTACTCTGTGAGGTAGAAAGCTGGAGATATATGTCATACAAATAGCAAGATTATGAGCATGGTGGCATTAATATTTTGCTTCGTTGTTGTTTCACATGGCTTAAATTTGCTTCTTTCTGTCATCTCGGTTTGATGGTGGGAGAGAGCTTTAAATTCACAATCTTAAGTTAACTTCTTGGTATTATAAACACAAAGCCTCTGTCCTCCACAAGAGCTGCTCTGAAAGTTCAGACATTATGTGAGGGTTTACTAAGTGGCCTTTGGCACTTGTTGGCACTCAGTGCACCTTTTTGTCAGGGAAGGAAGGTAGTAGGGAGCAGTGGCTCAGAGAAGGCTGTGCTCAACCTTGGAATGCCATTTAGAAAATGCCATTGTGGCGGGAATTACATATGGAAGTGTGAAAATGTGACAGGCTCAAGAGGTAGTAGAGGAAGCCTGAGGGAGGAGGCCTCCACAGTTTTTCTTAGAGCTACCTCTGGCATTTTCACAGCATAGTAAAATCATCTTCAAAAGGCAGATCTGGTGGAAAGCAGGGAAGAAACAGGAATATACCCCTTATGTGCCTTCCTTCATAAGGCACTTTGCTCTGGTAATAGCTGTCATTCAGGAGTTTACTGTGGTACTTTGCTTACTGAAAAGATAAGGGGAATAGAAACAGGGATCACAAGGTGGTTCCTCATAAGAGTCTGTATGAGATGCATTTACATCAAGCTAGACTTTCCTAGACTTGTGATCTCAGCTCACCTACTAGATGTGTGGTTGTTGTAGGAAAGATGGCTACTCCATCTATACTTCTACTTACCCATCTATACAGTGGAAGAGTAGTCATCCCTCAGGGTCAGGTGGGTAATCATTAAACCTTTATCTCTGTTTCTCTTTTTAACTCTTCTCTAATTTTTTTTTTTTTTTTTTTTTTAGACAGGGTCTCCCTGTACCTCCATCTGGCCTGAAACCCTCTATAGAGACTAGGCTGACCTGGACCTCATAGAAATTCACCTGCCTCTGCCTCCTGAGTGCTGGTATTAAAAGTGTGTATACCACACCCAGCTTCTAATTTTTTAAATTAATTAAAATATTTTTAAAAAAAAATTTTATGAGTGTTTTGACTGTATGTATGTATGTGCGTCTGTGTGTGCAATGCCCATGGTGGCCAGAAGAGGGTGTAAGATCCCCTGGAACTGGAATGATGGATGTTGGCCACCATGTAGATGCTAGGAACCAAAACCAGATCCTCTGCAAGAGCAGTCAGTGCTCTTAACTGCTGAGCCATCTCTCCATCCCAAACTCTTCTCTAATTTATGATACTAATTCAGGCTCAAAATCAGTCACTATGTTTTTAAAAAATATTCTTAGGTTAAGAATAATAGTGGCCTATTACACTGTTATTGTGTGTGTGTGTGTGTGTGTGTGTGTGTGTGTGTATGTTTGTATAAGTTGGACAGTTAAAAGAAATTATATCTCTTAGTGTAAATTTTAAGAATGGAAGTCATAGGGTTTTGTTTTGTATTTATTTATTTATTTATTTATTTATTTATTTATTTATTTATTTATTTATTTATTTGAGACAGGGCCTCCTTGTAGCCTCAGCTGACCTGGAACTTGCTATATAGACTAGGCTGGCCTCAATCTCACAGAAATCTGCCTGCCTCTGCCTCCTGAGTGCTGGGATTAAGGCATGTGCCATCATGCTCAGCTAAATCAGTTTTTTGAATCCTATAATTAATCTGTAGAGGCCTTCCCTCAGCCACAAGATTAAGCCTGCTTTTTATTTTCTTTTGCCCTGTAACAAATTCCATGGTTTAAAAGCAACCGGTTACCTGCTCACACTTCTATGGGCCAGATACCCAACACAGTAAGACTGTTCTGCTCATTGTATCACAAGGCTAAAGTGTTTGCCCACCAGAGCTCTTGTTTTTATGCTGAGGGGAAAACAAAGCAACAACACACATACACACACACACGCACGCACACACACACACACACACACACACACACACACACACACACACATATTTCAGGCTTATTCAAGTTATTGGCAGAATTCTGAAGGTCCTTGTGAGCCAGGTGTGGTGATGCATGCCTTTAATCCCAACACTCTGGGAGGCAGAGGCAGGTGAATCTCTTTGAGACTGAGACCTGTCTTGTCTTTATAGCAAGTTCCAGGTCAGCTGGGGTTACAAGGAGACCCTGTCTCAAAAAACCAAGCAAAAACAAAAAGCCAAAAAAAGAAACAAACAAAAAATTCATTGTGATTGTAGACTTGAGGTCTGATCTCTCTTTTCTTGTTGGTTTCTTTCTTGGGCTTCCAGTCTTTCTGACTTCCTTGTCTGTTACTTGACAGAAAAACTGCTTTTCAAGGGCTCATATAATTGAGTTAGACCTATTTGGATAAGCCCTCCTATTTTAAGATCTATTGTGCCTTATTATACGATTTAATTGCCAGAATAAAGTCCATTATACTCACAATACCAGGATTTTGTACCATGGCTGGCACACCAGGGAGAGGGAAAGTGTATGTGTGTGTGTGTGTGTGTGTGTGTGTGTGTGTGTGTGTGTGTGTTGAGGGGTGAATTTTAAAAGCTTCCTATTGGGGCTGGAGAGATGCTCAGCGGTAAGAGCAGTGACTGCTCTTGAAGAAGACCCAGGTTCGCTATCCAACGCCCTCTTCTGATCTCTGCAGGCATTGCACGACATGGGTACACCTGCCTACGTGCAGGCAATATACTTATATACATAAAATAAAAATAATAACTAAAATATTTTTAAGTGTCCTATCATACCTGCTTATCATGATTTTACTTCCTGTTTTTATTGCTTTTTTTCAAGGTCACAGAAGAGAATGGCGAGCAAATACCTTGTTACTTTGTCACGGTAAACCTACAAGAAGTTGGAGGGGTTGAAACTAAGAACTGGACCGTCCCAAGAAGGCTCAGTGAGTTTCAGAATTTACACCGGAAACTTAATGAGGTATGAGTACTTATGAACACAGGACTTGTAAACACAAGACTGGAGAATTACCGAGCATGAAGAGATTTGGAGCGCAAATCAATTACATAAGAAGTGGCTTAATCTTCATGTTGATACTAGTGCAGCAACATTTTCAGCCTGACACTTGGAAATTATTCATAGATCAAACCATCTAGTCTAGTCTAAATCCTTCAGTGCAGATGGTTGTCTGATTCCCTATATAAATTGCTATAGAACCCCAAAGCTGAAAGAGACCAGGGATAATCTAGGTTCAGTGGTTTTTGAAACTTTCAGTTATGACCCTTTCGTGCCTCTTCTGAAGTCAGTTGTGAGTTTTAGCAGTGGGAGGGGAATTTAGAATTCCATCACGTGTACTCAAGGAGGCAGCAGCGTGGAGTGGTTGAAAGCACAGCCTCCGGAGCCAGCATGCTCAGCCTGGCATCCTAGCTTTACCATTTACTAGCTGTGTGACCTGGGATTTGTCCTTCAGTCTTTTTGTGTGGTTTTTTTTTTTCCCTCATTAATGAAATGCAAATACTCATAGTTCCTACTTAGCCACCTCACAGGGTAGGGATTAAGGGAATAAATTTATACAAAGCATGTAGAAGAAGGTGTGGTATACAGAAAGCACTTTTATGGTTTTGTTGGTATTAGCAGTAATGTACTATTTTGCTTTTATATAGATATGATACATGATGTAGATGCAGATATACATCTGCATTATGGGTTATGGTATAGCATGTGTTTTCTGTTGTGGTTTATCTTTTTTTGTTGTTTTATTTGTTTTTGAGACAGGGTCTCTCTATGTACCCCTGGCTGATCTGGAATTCTCTATATAGACTAGGCTATCCTTAGAACTATAGAGATCTGCCTGCTTCAGCCTCCTAAACTTTGGAATTAAAGGCTTGTGCTACAACACCTGGCCTTTTTTTTTTTTTTTTTTTTTTTAAGCTAGAGGAAATTTTATTAGTGCTTAAAAGAAAAGCTCTGGAGGAGACAAGCAGCTGTCCAGAGGAGGAGAATCGGGGAGAGAAGGAATAAAGCCATGGTGTTGAGTTAGGCTGGCAGGGAGGCTGCCACGTGGCAGTAGGCAGTGACGTGGTGGGGAGGTGGACTTTAGAATAAGGAAGCCCATAGTGTTAGGGAAAGCATGCTTCGAACAGAAAGAGGAAGCAGAAAAGGAAGAGCCAGCACACTTGGTGAAGCTGCATGGCTGTGTTTGTAAGACATTGCTCTGTTGAAAGCCACTCAATTAGGTCAGTTCTTTATTTGATAGCTGGGGACACCAATCCCAAAGCTTCATTGACTTCCAGGATATATGCATAGTGGCCAAATCAGGATCAGAGTCTAGTTTCTTCTTCTTCCCACTTTGCCTCTAGAGGTAATTCCCACCTTCTACTGAAGGTGATTTCCTTTTCCCCAGCAATGAAGATGTCTTTAATTACTTCTATTTCAGTTTGTGGCCATTTTTCTCTTGCTCGGAATGAACTGATACTAGCAAAGCCTAGTTTACTTCTCAGAGTTCTTTTGTATAAATGAAATATCTGTTTCCTTTACCTTTGTCTTCTAGGATGATTTTTAACCCTTTTAACCACTTCCTTTCCGAATACTTCTTCAACTGCTTCTAAAAGAATGGTGGCCAAGGCTGAATGTCATACATGCTGCAGCATTTCTCAGATCAGTGTGGTCACTCCACGAGTGTGGGAAAGAAAATTTTTATCTCAGCGTAATAATAAATTCTCAGAGTTATTGGATAAAAATGGCACTATGGAAAAATGCATTCTTTTCCATGTGTCAGACATGTAAAACTAAAGTTGAAGTATCAACCCAGGTTGTTAATAAAAACAAAAAAGAAAAAGGAATTTGGGGATAATTTTGAAATAAGATGTACTTGGAAAATAAATTTCTTAGGAAATAATTGTGCTGAGGCATTCTTAGAATCAACCGTTATAAAACCCATGCATGGCCTTTTGACTCACTGTCGTGGCTCTGGACTTATGGCTGACACTTCCCTTTCCCTTGTCACTTCCTATGGTGAGTTTCCTCTTATGAGAACCTTACTTTTGACATCTATGGACAAAGGAAGCAGCCTTTGGGCCCTAGTAATTTTAATCTTCCCTTCCAAATCCCACAGACTAATTTGTTTTTCTAAAAATTCAGAGAGCTGTTGTAAAGGTGATATAACACATTGCTAACATTGTTGGCAAGGTGTCTGATAGAAAGTAGCGCTCCACCCACAAAAGAAATCTATTGTTGTTATTTATTATTAATAGATTTACATTCTACAGTTTGCTATTGAAAAGCAGTTAATAGAGCTACAACCTAAGTTTTCTTTCTTTTCATTTTCTTGTACTGTAATAACTTTACAAAGCTGCTAGAAATGCATCTGCCAGTAAAAAAGCTTCTATGATGGGTCTCTAGCAGTGCATGCTGTGCTATGGAGTTGTTAATGCAAGTCCACACTGTGAGCCAGCTTCTGGGTGTTTGTAGGTCTGAGGATAAGCTTTCCATCCAGTGTACTAGTCCTCCAGTTTCTTTGAGCATAATTACAATGGGCACGTTCTCTTGGGTGTGGTGGTAGACACTAGTAATCCCAGCACTTGTGTGGCAGAAACAGGAAAATCAAAAGTTCAGATTTCTCAGGGTCCAGAGGAATAAGTATAAGTGAAAGCTGTTTGGTTTGTTTTAATTATAATTATAAATCTTAAGATTAGAATGTAGTTTCAAAATATTAACACTTATTTTTCCCCCTTCACAGTGTGTCCCTTCTTTAAAAAAAGTCCAGTTGCCTTCTCTTAGCAAACTGCCTTTCAAATCTGTAGATCACAAGTTTCTGGAAAAATCAAAGAATCAATTAAATAAGTTTTTACAGGTAAGCAAATCGAAAGTTTTAGATGTAAGACAAAGTTAGTCTTTGGGGGGAAGTAAACTGCTAGCATACAAAGAACTTGCAAGTTTGCTTTTTGTTTTCATAAGCCACCCCCAGTTTGTACCCTCCCCAAAGACAACTACTGCTCATCATATTGAACTACTCATCATCTTATTCATCAGTGGGTGGTAATATCCATTTTTTTCACCCCTAAACCCTTTGTCTTATGACAATAGACACAAAACGTTTTTGTCATCGCATTGTTAATCTGTCTTATCACATTTGCTCACATATAAGTGAATTTGACTTACATTCTTCTTTCCTTTCCCCTAGACCAGATAGGTAGGTTTAGAGCTCTGAAATTTGCAGTTTAAGGACCAATCTAAACAGATATATAATTGTATATAAACAGTCACTTGGAAAGTGGTAGATGGAACTATCACCTGGTAGGTAGGGCTACCTTATCTGAATGTAGCCAAAAAGGGTCTTTTGTGGTATCTGTGCATACTTTGCAAAATACAAAGTTTTTCAAAGACAAATGAGTAAAAATTGTCTTTCAAAAGCAGTAGTCCTCAACATCTTCAAGGATGTATGCAAAATAAGAATTTTTATGGCGTTAAGAGTATAAAATGGAATACTGTTGTCTGCACAGTCTCTCTCACAAGATTGGTACACCATCACCTGTTTTCACTTAGGCTCACAGATAAGTCTGTATAGTTTATTTCTGGGGGAAAAGGCAGTTTTTAAAAAAAATACTTTATTTTTATTTTATGTATATTGCCTGCATGTGTGTAAGTGCATCTGTGTTATGCAATGCCTGTGGAGGTCAAAAGAGGGCATTGGATCCCATGGCACTAGAATTATGATTGTTAGCTGCTGTGTCAGTGCTGGGAATCCAACCTGGGTCCTCTACAAGAGCAGCCGGTGCTCTTAACCGCTGAGTCATCTCTCCAGTCCTTGAAAAGGCAGTTTTTAATAAAAGTTCAGAATTATGGTGAAAGTAAATCCATGATATAGTTGGTTCTATCTGATTTGCTCAGCAGCCCAAATAGTTTTACTTAGGAGTAATTAATCCTTTTCTTCCATAGAATCTACTTTCAGATGAAAGACTGTGTCAGAGTGAAGCACTTTATGCCTTTTTGAGCCCTTCTCCTGACTACCTCAAGGTTATTGATGTACAGGGGAAAAAAAACTCCTTTTCATTATCCTCATTTTTGGAAAAACTGCCTCGGGATTTCTTCTCCCATCAGGAGGTGAGCAGCCCAAGGTTGTTTCACTTTGTGGTATGTTTAAACATGGAGCTTTTTGAAGGCTGTTTGAAATGACAGATGTTTGTTGAAAGCATGCTGCTAATGCAAAAGACAAATAACATCCATTTTCAGTTCTCACTTTCACATTTTGAGGTCCTACTTCTCCCCTATCAGTCACCTGGAAGAGTTAGAATACAGAAATAAAAGGATGAATGGCAAGGCAGGTAAGTGAACCATAGACTGGAAGTGCTGTGGAGCCAGTCCCTGGTGATGGAGAGCAGAGTGAAGGCCATTGGAGGAAGAGCTGAGCTGGAACTGAAGGTTGGGAAGGAGAATGAGTCGATGAGATAGTCAACAGGTCATTGGACTAGACTGGCAGGTTTCTGTGGTATTCTAATAGAAGATAAAGCAAAGCTTCATGGCATGGTAAAGGGCTGAAGCATCATTCTCAGGAAATAGTGAACCATGGAATATGCTGAAGCAAGAACCTGGTAGTAATACATATGGGTAAAGGGATCGCTGGAAGAGACTGAATGCATTTTCAGTCTCATATTCTGAACCTTAGGCTTGACTGTGTAGACCACTGAGACCTCGTTTGGCTGTCTAGCAAATTACAGACCATCCCCCACATTTGACTTCTCTTTGATCTGTTGCTAAACAATACTGCCTCTTCATTAGGATTAGTTTACTGAGTTTGTGCAAAGGAACTCACCTTGAAAAAGAATATGCTGTTTTATTGCATTCTGGATGGGGAAGAGAAATCTAAACTACGTAAAGCATGCTCACATCTCTGTTTAGTCTATGTGTGAGCCACCTGTCTCCTAAGCTCCCCTGCCTCCTCTTTTCCTCTGCGTTTGTTTAGACCTAGATAGCTTTTCTCCATTACCGTTTTCTGACTGAATCCCTTTGGATACACAAATGATTCAGTCACTATGAAATTGTTTACCAAAGGTGAGTGTCATGGCTGCTTCTCAGTGCTCGCCTTCCTCAGAAGCATGTTGATATTCTTGAACCCACATGAAGCTGTAAATTTTTAGGGAACTCCTCCTGCTTCTGAGAATTCTGTTCTTAACCCTGCTCACTTGATGTCACCCAAAGTCTTATCATTGGTGCATTGATTGGTCCTACAACCTCATCTTCCACTTCTTTTATTTTTATATATTTTATTTATTTTATGTGTATGCATGTATTGCCTACATGTAGGTAAGTGCACCTGTGTCATGCAGTGCCCACACAGGACAGAAGAGACTGTCAGATCCCCTTTAGCTGGAGTTATGGACAGTTGTTAGCTGCCATATGGGTGCTGGGATTCGAACCCAGGTCTTCTACAAGAACAGTCAGTGTTCTTAACTGCTAAGCCATCTCTCCAGCCCCTCATCTTTCACTTCTATGCAGACATGAGAATGAAGGTCTTCCTTCAGCTGTCCTTCCACTGCCTGATATTCATCCCTGCCTTGTGAAACCTGCCACTCCTATATGCATCAGTTCTCCCAGACCACTGTCAGCCATGAAGTCTGAACCATATTGTGCACATGTGTACTAGCTTGGTGCCTGACATGTTTTGAGTTGAAATATGCTAACATATAGATCAGGAAATGAGACTAGCAGAAGTACATGCATATATTTTTAAAATGAATAAAACCATTCATCTTAAATGGAAAGAAAAACCATTTAAGTTAAAAGTCTTATAAAATGCAAAATATATTTTATAGTTTTTAGAAAACTGTATTACTAATTCCTTGATTATGTAAGCTGCTTTTCTTTTTTAAATGTTTTTATTATTTTTATGTACAGGAGTGTATTGCCTGCATGTGTGTAAGTGTACCCGTGTTGTGCAGTGCCCGCAAAGGTCAGAAAAGGGCATCAGATTCCCTGGAACGGAGTTACAGAAGGTTGTTAGCTACCATGTGGGTGCTAGGAATTGAACTCAGATCCTCTGTAAGAACAGCCAGTGCTCTTAACTGCTGAGCCAGCTCTCCAGCTCCCAACTGATTTTTTTTTCAATTAACTTATTTTAAACTTTGAATATGTCTTTAGAATCAAGGTTTTCCAACGATAGAAGTGTTTTGTCTTCAATGTTGAAAATGGATAGGTTTCTGTATAAAAGTTGAGTACAGTATAAGACTAAAATACGAGCAAATACCTTGGAATTTGCACTTGAAGAGGCAAATAACTGTACCTAATTCTACTGCATTTTCTTGGGTGAATGACCTGTTCCCTGTGATTTTGCTGTACTCCCAGGAAGAGATAGAGGAAGACAGTGACCTATCAGATTATGGTGATGACATGGATGGGAAGAAAGATGCCTTGGCTGAACCATGTTTCATGTTGATTGGAGAGATTTTTGAACTTCGAGGAAGTAAGTCTCTTGCGTATTTAGTAGTATTTTCTGGCTAAGTGGGACTTGTGTAATCTTGCTCTATTCCTCAAATGTATCTGACATGTCTGTGTATCCATGTGTTCAATCATTCAACAAGTATTTTGAAATGCCAACCAGACTGCAGGTGTCATGCTTCCTGCTAAGTGCTGAAAGCACAGCCTTAGGGCATCTCTATATTCCCGAATTTTCAGGACCTGGTTTACTTTCCATTATGTTCCTCTGCATACAAAAAGATTGGCTGCTTTGAGTTTTTTCACATGTGATTCAGCATAGCTTCACTGCCTTATCCAAACTCCCTCTCTCTCTCTCTCACACACACACACACACACACACACACATTGCATAGCAAAGAAGAAGTCTATTGTTAAAGGTGTTTTGATACACCTTTATGTATGTTATGGTTAGGGATGTGGGAAAGCCTCAGCTCTATTTTCAACCTTTCTTCTCCCAGACCTGTGGTTTTCAGTGGGTAGGGTGGTGGTATTTGGTGATATCTGGAGGTGTTTATATTTGCCACAACTTAGGGTTGGGTATTACTGGCATCTGATGGGAAGAGGCTAACGATACTGCTAAACATCCAGCAGTGCACAGGACAGCCCCCGCAAGGGAGAATTAGCCTGTCCACAACAACAGAGCTGAGATTGAGGAATTCTCCCTGACATGCTTTCAAAAATAGCAGAATGGGGGATTGGAGTACCATTTACTCAATGAGTACCTAACCCCCAGAGAAGTACTGTTGTAAAAGATTAACAAGCCTACATGGCTTAGTCTTGAGTCCTGCCCAGAACATAGCATACTTTGCTCATCCCTTTGTAGCTCCTCAACACAAGAACTCAGGAAACCTGTCTGTTTGGTTATATTGGAGCCTCTGTTCTGGCTAGGGATATGGCGGTGCTTCCAAGTTCACACAACCATCTAAGAGAGAAGACACAGAAAATAACAAGGGCTTGTGAGGCACATGAGTGCCACTAGCTAGTAAAATGTTTCAAGAATATCCTGGGCTCTGTCCATGCGGATTAGCATGTTTTTCCCTTGGATCAAAGGTGGCAGGTCTGGGTGGTCTATGTGGGAACTGAGACTGCATCCTTGCTCATCTCTATATCCCTCGTGTCATTTGGCCGTATTACCAGGTAAAAATTACTGACAGATAAAAAATGCCATTATAAACTTGAACATGTCTTATGCATTGTTTAATCTTCAGTATCTGACCCATAGCAGGTGATCAATAAAATGCACTGATGAATAAATCGGCCAGATGTTAAATGCCATACTTATCTTTGATCACTGGACGTTTTTCTCTTCTGAGCCAAAGCTAAGAAAGTATATAATCTCAGCTATCATCAAATTCTATGCTAAAAGCAGATATTTATATATAAGATTTACATAAATAAACTTTAGAAATGGAGGCTAGTTAAACTAAGAATAGCCTTATGATAGAATATCATCCAAAGATTAAATGTTTTCAGATGAAAACTCTGTAGCCTTGCCCTATTTTAGGTCCTTTTAAAATAGTCATTGATATTTAACTCGATTCAGTACAGGGCAAAAAACAATATTCCACTCAAAAGCTTCCTCAATGAAATATGACCCATGAAACCATGAGTCCTCCTGTTTCCCAGAGCTGGAAGAAACGAAGGTGTACTGTTCTGTTAACATCAGTGTGTGCTTTTCCATAAACTCCTAAGAAATCAAGAACACTGTAGACATGTCAGAGCCAGTCACAGCTGTAGTGGGGCTCTAAATGCTGGCATTGCAGCCTGCTCATCCTCCATCAAATGCCTGCTCAGAAGCTGTTTGGTTTTGCTAGTGACATTTCCAAAAGAAATAAATAGAACAGCCTTTATAGTGAGATGCGATGTAATTGCCATCAGCAAAATCCTCAAGCTGCTGCAGCTGCCTCTATGCTTTGAACAGACAAGATTTTGAAAAGAGTCATGGGGCCATTTTGGCAGGGTGCGGGCTTGGGAACTAGGGAAGGATAGGAAAAAGTATAGTAAGGGAATATCAGCAACAGGAGAGAATTTGTCGCAAATGCTATGGTTCCTGTTCTTGTTAGGTATACAGATGGACCTAATAATACAGCATTTAAAAAAAATGCCAGGCATTCTTCCTAGAGTTACATTTTTCCTCAGATCCTCTGACTGTGTACTTCTTTCCTGCCCTAGAAAGACCAAGCAGAGTTATCATCATGAACAGAAATGCTCATACCAACCTAAATGTCAGCCTAAAATAAACATGCTGACATACATAGCAGCATTCCAGAAAATTCCATCAAGAAGTTCCAGACATTTCTGAGGCAGGGTTAAGAATCCAAGGCTTTGTTTTTATTTAGAGGATTAATACTATTTTAACTATACACTGAGATTCATTAAAAAATTGGGAATGCCTTTAGACTCTTTTTAGTTTAGAACCAAGTCCGTGTCTGTTGGTTGCTTTTATGTGGTTGCCTTAGGAAAAGGTTTTTGTGAATTTACACCTGACCAATGTCAAAGTTGTGGTGAGTAGAACCCTTCATATACAGAAAGTACCTTACAGGAAGGGGGTTGGTACAAGCCTACTTTAATCTCATCCTTTTCCAGATGAGGAACCTGAGGTTAGGACAAGATGAAGTGTGCATGGCTGCTTTAGGAAGTGGTGTAGGAGATTAATATTCACATAACATTTAGGATCCTGGCTCTTCAGTTCTCCCTTCTTGCCCTAAATACATAAAATCTAAAAGTACATAATGTTGAACAGACTAGTATTCAAAAGGCAACACTTTACTAATCACTTTACTAATATTTGTCAATATTTGAGTATAGACATTTCTTATTCAGAACTGAGTTTTAGAAAATTAGATGCCATGAATCAAATAGAAATCTTAAAACAAAATTATACTGTCTGCTAGTAGGGATGAGGTATATTGTAGAAGCCTGGGTACATGGGAAGCAAACTATTCTTTCTGCTTGCTAGCTCAGCTTTTCTGCAGGCATTGAAAGTTGAAAAAAGTATCGTCCTAGGTTTCATCTCACCAGTTGCTTAATGAAAAATAAAAGTTGCTGGGCATGGTGGCTTACACCTTTAATCCCAGCACTCAGGAGGCAGAGGCAGGCGGATCTCTGTGAGTTCAAGGCCAGCCTGGCCTACAGAGAGACCCTGTCTCAAAAATACCAAAAAAAGAAAGCTTAGGAGTTTTCCTGAGCAGGAGTTTGATAGCTTAGACCCAAAGTCTCCAAAAGTATAGCCTTTGATTGATGCTTGGACTGTGGTTGAATTAAGTGGTAAGATTGTATGCTTGGTCAGCTGTGAAATTGTGACGTTTGTAATATCCTGTGATAAAAAGTTTTCTTCTGATTTATATTTTAGTGTTTAAATGGGTGAGAAGAACATTAATTGCTCTTGTTCAGGTCACTTTTGGAAGAACCATCAACAAGTAAGTTGTACAAAATATTTGAATCCATGCATTATTCTTTGATTAGTCAAATTACCTTACAGTGCAGTAGTTGATGAATTTAACTAAAAGTATCTTTCTCTTAAATTTGTTTCTGATAAGATTCTGAGATTGGCTAAAGAAGCAGGTTTCTGAATTTCTTTTGCAGCATGCATGGTGAACTAGATGACAAAAATGAGCTAGCTCCAGCATTCTGGCTGATGGAGGTCAGAAGGTTATGCCTGAAAATTCCGTTTTGATCATAACTAGTAGAGTACCTTAAGTATTCTGCTGTCACGTCATATAATGCGACTCAGGTTAAGTCTTAGCCACAGTGAAAGTAGGATATTCACCAGATGACAAATACTTGGTTGGAGGGAAATAAGAGTTATGGTGGAGGGTTGTGTCTATCAAATATTACTACGATAAGCCCTTTGTAGATTCTAAACTATATTACAATATCTATTTACATAAAAATATTTATACATGAAACCTCCCACAGATTGTTCTAGTATTGTTTGTAAAAAGTTGTTCACAGTTTGGCCTTTTATTCATGAAAGCTCTGGGGTTTGTTACTGAGAACTTAAGTCAATTAATACTACTCTCTAAGAAATTACTGAATTTTTCCTAACTGTAGGAGCATGGAATCTGTATTAGTCAAATCAAATGATTTAAGTGGTTCAGTCCTCAAGCAGGTCTCAGAGGTTAGTCTCAGTCATTTCATCAGTGAGGAGACCAGAGATGGCGTGGTTTGTTCGAGTTCTCCAGTATACTGGTCAGCAGAGCTAGCCTGGCTTCCTGGCCTGTTTTGCTTACTCAGCCCTGTCTGTGCCTAGAATTTGCAACTGCTCTTGCCAAATTCTTTTAAATAGTAACTATATCCAAAATCACATTACAACTTTCTACAGACTAGAAATGTGAGTGGACGTCTAGAAATTTTTTTTAAAAAATCACTTTAAAAAATTAAATTTTAAGATGAAGCTATCGAGTTTTTCCAAATGAAGGATTTACTGCTAAACATTGGTGAAAGAGTCACCAATAAGATAGTCTTATTATGTAAAGCTTATAAGATTTTATAGAAAATATTATAAAGAAAATTTATTTTGTATTTATTTTAAATAGAATGTACTTTCCTTGAGTTCATAACAAAAATTTACTTCTGTTTTATTTCTAAGATTTAAAAAAATGTAGTTCTGGATGTCTATCAGAGGCAGGTGTGGTTGGTTTAGTGTCCTAGGCGTTTGTTTTGATCAGAGAAAGGGCCTGGTTAGTATTTCTGACTTGAGAAAACCTCATTAGTACTGACTAGCCATAGATGAAGAAATTTCCAAATGCCTTCTTTTTTCCTAAGTACTTGAAGCTTGCTAACTTATTTTCCTTGTCAGTTTCAGCAAATCATGTACTTTCCTTGTTCCTCTTTATGATGTTGGCTCTTGTTTCTAAAATGAGCAGCTGTGTTTTTGAGTGATGAATGCATTGGGCAGTTATCTTCATGGAAATTGAGAAGCTTCTTGTAGAAAATTTTCAGACAGTTATATCAGTGGGTTTGTTATCAGGTAGGGAATTATGGAACACCTGGTACTTTGCTATTTTTGCCTTTAGCTGGCGATGACACATCATAAAATTAAGCAGTAGTGTGTTTTAGGCCTCTTGTCCTGGAACAACTGTAATCTCAATTTACGACTTGCTTCAAAAGCTTTTGACTAAAAGAAAACATGTAGATGCTCTTCTTTGGTAAGAATCGCCTGATTTTAAGTCATAAATTGAAATTTTCTTCCATTCTTCATGGTGTGGCAGTGGTTAACCCAAAGCAAGACTACAGAAGCAAAGCATGATGTAGCTAGTATGGAGTTCTTTCTTAGGAAGGTAGGTGAGCAGGCACTGTTTGAAGGCAGAAGCCCCATTAAATTAATGCAATTATTTTCTTTGGTCTAAATTTGAATTGCAGCTTTTAGCCATATAAAGAAGTATCTTGGGAGATTTTTCAGTTACAGACTTAATATCACAAATTCACTCAAAAGAGTTTAAACATTTAACCAATAGTGATTGATCACTATGTACAAAATACTAGACTTGAAACATGTTTTAGAGACTGTTTCTGAAACCTTTATATATATCCTTTTAGAAATCTGGTTGAGAAGTCAGATTCTTAAGGAGCCTTTTGATTATTATTGTTTGTTGTTGGTAGTTAGGAATCAAGTGTGGAATTTCAGGTGTTTCTGGCACTAGTAATCTAAAATGATCCTTTCACCTTTTCAGTCTGACAGCTACTTTGGGGCTCTTGAACTGTTTCTGCTTGTCTCTTGCCAAAAGAACTGATTAAGATTTGACTAGTAGGCTTGAGTAACTAGATAAAAGCCATTTATGCATAACTGTGCAAGTCATATCTACCCAACCCAGTCTGCATTGCCAGAATCATTTGGAGTTGGCTAGGTAGCATTTCACCTTTGAAAGGGGTAGTCTCCATGATCCTGAGCACGTGAAATCTTTCCTCTGCATAGAGTATTTTCCCAGCATTATCTGCTATAGTCACCCTGAAAAACAGCCAGTGAACAAGCATGATTCTCCTCCAGGACCTCGGGCCTCAGAGAGGGTTCCCTAGACTACTTTGATCAGTCTTGGAAAGTGGGCTTGTGCTTCTAGTTTATAAGCTTCATGCAGAAATAAATAATGTATGCATTCTTGGAAAATGTATGCAGTCTTTGGAAAAATAAGCCTCAGTTCTTGTCTGTGTAGATTAGAAGGAAAACATTTGGAGAAGTAGGTACCAGTGAAAAATGTGAGCCCCAGGAATGAGTTGGTCATCACAGTGTTGCAAAAATGAACAATATCCAAGGCTGAACAATTCAATTCTTACCTTAGTCATCAAACATTTAGATCAGGCTGTATCTTAACCTACCCATTGATGATTACCATCTGAGAATATATATATTTTTAAACTTCATCCTAGCAATATTTTTTCTCTTAAAAGACAAATCCGGGATACAGTGAACTGGATTTTCAGCGAGCAAATGTTGGTTTACTACATCAACGTTTTCCGGGATGCTTTTTGGCCAAATGGGAAATTGGCACCCCCAACTAGAATCAGAAGCAAAACGCAAAGTCAGGAAACAAAACAGAGAGCACAACAAAAGCTACTTGAAAACATTCCAGGTGAGGCCTCAGCCTGAGCAGTGAAAAGAGGATGTTAACCCTGCTAAGATGGCAGTCATCTGTGTGTCTCAGGAAACACTACAATTCAGATACCACACTTTTCTCTTAAGTTGTTTCTTACCATTTACTGAAAAGTTATACTTGATAATCTTAATGTGAATATTTAACTACAGAAATGCTTTATAGCTAGTAATCATTTTTGTGCTTTTTAGTTATCAGGCCAAAGTATACTGTGAAATTTTAGAAATATGTTAAAAAATACATTCATTTTAATTGTAAAACTAGTAGCAAATAGTGAAATTGTAGTTTGTATAAATGCCCTCTGGTAACACATTCTAAATAAACGTTCCTCTGTAAACATTTGAAAGAACTGACCAACTAACATTCACTATACACCGGTACTTTATTTATGTTGTATTGTATTAATGTCAACTTATGACCAAAACTCAAATTTTCCAGGTCTTAGGAGATAGTCCAGTGTTAGAGCACTTGCCTGGTGTGATGGTTCATAATGTGATCTAAAATCACTCAAAAAGAAGTCCCTGGGCATGCCTGTGAGGGGTTATATAGGTTAGGTCATTGAGGTGAGAAGAGCCACCTGAACTGCAGGTAACATCCTTTCTTGGGCTGAAGTCTTGGACTGAATAAAAAAAGAGAAAGCGAGCTGAGCACAAGCATCATTGCTCTCTGCTGACTGTGGATGCTGTATGACAGCCTCCTCAAGCTCCTGCTGCCATGACTTCTCTGCCATGTTGGACTGTACCTGGGAACTGTGAGCCGCAGTATGCCTTTTCTCCCCATGCTGCTTTTGTCAGGTTATTTTATCACAGCAACAGCAAATACACTCAGTATGTGTGAGGCCCTGAAAGCCTCAGCATGTAGCAAAACCAATAGAAAATTTTCTTTTTTCAGATACACTTCAGAGCCTTGTTGGACAGCAAAATGCCCGCCATGGTATAATAAAAATATTCAAGGCTCTGCAAGAAACAAGAGCCAATAAGCATCTATTATATGTGAGTAAATGAAAACCTCCCAGAGAACTAACTCTTTCTTGGATTTTATATTTCTGTTTACATAGTAGGGTATATATTCTGTTACATATATTCTGTTACTTTTATTATAATTCTGAACCCATTTTTTTCTGCTTCATTTTTGTCTGCCCATTCATTTGCTTAAAAAGAATAAAAGCACCCTCAGTGGACATGGCAGTCACAGACTCACAGACTGGTCTCTGTTGACTTCTGATTCAGCATTTCTGCATGACTGCATAGTTTTGTTACTTTGGCACAGTAAACTGTTTCCAACTCATTGTTGGAATTACCAGTGTTAGCCAGGTGTGGTGCACATCTGTAACTGTAGTACCCAGAAGGTAGAGGCAAGTGTTGTCTCAAAAAAGAATTGCCAGTATAAAACATCATTGACAGTTGTATTTGTTTAATAGACCATGAATCAAATCAAGTTTATGTAATATTAATTTCTTTTGAGAGTTATCTGTTTACGGAAAACAGTCTCAGAACTATAACTAGACTTTTCTCTCAGACATAGCCTCAAACAGGCCCTTCTTTCTTTTCCTTCTTGGTTCAGGTGCTGATGGAGCTGCTGTTGATTGAACTGTGTCCTGAGCTGAGAACTCATTTAGATCAGTTCAAAGCTGGTCAAGTCTGAGACTACACAAATCAACTACCAGAAAAATGTCTGTGTGATAATAGACATGAAACATTTTCCTCTTTTCCACAGAGGGCCTGACTGAGAACCATTCAATCTTTGCTTTCCTTGCCTCCCTCCAGTTTTATGTGAAATAAACAGAATTGGAGGAAGGAGGACTTGATGCTGTGGTAGGTCACAGAAAAAGAAACTTATGTTTATTGATTTTTATTTAAATAATAATACTTTAAAGCTCAACATGCTGATTGAAATACAAATGTTAATATGTGATAAGAACCTAGGAAATATTTTAAATATTTATGAAAAACAGTTTTGTTTTAAAATGACAAACTATGAATATTGTACAGTTAATTTCCTCACTGAGGATTTTGAACATTCCTGTATTATTTCACGTGTGTTGAAGAACATTGTTGTGCAATGCTTTGTGTAGTTACTGTGAAAATTTTGTGTTTATTTTTACCAAAGATTTCCCATAGTTTGAAGCATTTGAAGCAATAAAATATAAAAATGAATCACAGTGCTCAGTGATGTTAAAGATGCTTGTGTCTCAAAGAGTAAAGTTGTAACACTTGTTTTCTACTTCAACACTTTCTCAAGAAAGTATAAAGTTTGCTGCCTTTGTCCACACACAAAATAAATATGTGAAATGTATGATTTTTAGTGAGTGAAAAAGGCCAAATTAGTGCTTGCCGTGAGGTGTTAGGGAGGTAAGATGTAAGCTGAGCCTTGAAATAATGGATAGGGAAACAGAGAGGAGAGAACTTAGTTGGGGAAGTTGAAAGACTCAATTATATCCTGAAATTGTATGCACTGTAAGGACAGAAGGGGAGATACAGAGTCTAGATTTTGCCACTGATAGTGAGAACATGGACAAGTCACTGAATCAATTTTCCTGGGTTTCATCATCTGTTAGGCAGTGATAATCACATACTATCCTCTCTCTAGTCCACAGAAATAATGAAACAAAAGGCAAAAATGCAATCTGAATCCATAAAAGAAAAAATATATTTGTATGGGATAAGTTTGTCATATTGATAGCTCATGAGTGACAGGTTCGTAATAAGAAACAAGTTCTGGAAAACAATTGATTAAAACAATATATTGAACTTCATTATTGAGAGTCTTCTAATTATGGCTCTTTGATCCCTTTTTTCAAAATAAGATAAGATCAGAAAAAATGAAGTTGATTATTTTTATGTATGAGAATTGTCCTTCAAAAGGATGTTGAAAAGATAATTTAAAATATGTTCAGAGAAGTTGACAGGCCCCAAGTACTCATCATATAATACGGCTCCTGGAAATGTCCATCTTGTGTATAACTCTAAGCTATCATTTACTCTTTGAATGTTAAATTTGCATTGCACATGAGAAAAAATACTCTTAATTCTCAATTCTGCTAATCAACTATAATGAATCCAGAAGTTTGGAATTTTTTTTAAAGTGTAATAGCTTGGAAGCCAAACTCTTCTCACAGGCAGCCATGGTTGCTTGAAGGTGCCAGGTCATCAGCTTTATGGTTAGTAGAGGACACTGCAAATGTAAATTCCACACTGGGTTCCCATGCAGGCCTGGCCTATGACCAAATAAGACACCTGTCAAGTTCTCAACATTGAGGACTTTAGGAGACCTGTATTTTTCTTGTTTGTTTTTTTATTACTTTTCAGCAGTAGAGATCAAACCCAGGGCCTTATATTTGCTAGGCAAGTGTTCTACTACTGCGCTATATGGCTTTCACCTTTTAAGTTTGTTAATTTATTTTGAAAGAGAGTCTTGCTAAATTTTAGTTCAGGCTGGTTGTGAATTTGTGATCCTCATGCATCAGCCTTTCAAGCAGCTGGACAGGTAGGCACCACCATACCTAGCTGAACCCTGGAAAGTTTTTGCTGTTCTCTGGCTGGCAGTGGACTTACTATACCGCAGAGACTGGCCTTGAACTCCTGCTCCTCTCGCCTCCATATGCCAGAGGCTGGGTTTATAGATATGAACTTCAAACCCAACTTGAAACGTGTATTTTGATGCAGTTTCTAATAAATTTTTTTTATTTATTTATTTTTATTTTATGTATGTAAGTGCACCTGTGATGTCCAATGCCCTTGGAGGTCAGAAGAAGGTGTCAGATCCCTGAGAACTGAAGTTACAGACAGTTGTAGCCACCATTTGGGTGCTGAGAATTGAACCTGGGTCCTCTGCAAGAGTAGTCAGTGCTCTTAACCGCTGAGACATCTCTCTAGCCCTACAAAAACTGTCTTTGCTAACCAATAATATCTTTAGTATCTAGGATATATAAAGAACTGCAAAAATCAGACACTAAAAAAAAAATAGAACTAGTTAATCAATTAGCTGGCTAATGAACTGAAAAACCATTCTCAAAAGAAGAAATACAATGGCCAACACTTGAGAAAGTGTCCAGTATCCTTTGCCACCAGAGAAATGCAAATTAAAAGTGCTTGGAGAGTTCATCTCACTCCAGTCCAGAATGGTTATCATCAAGAAAACAAATAACAGGGCCAGGCACACACCTTTAAACCCAGCACTCTAGAGGCAGAGACAGATGGATTTCTGTGAGTTCAAGGCCAGCTGGAACTACAGCTGTCTAAAAAGACCAAAATAATAAATAAATAAATAAATAAATAAATAAATAAATAAATAAATAAATAAATAAATAAATGAATGAATGAATGAATAAAAAAAGAAATAAACGTTTTAAGTATATAGGGAAAGAGGAACCCTTATTCACTGCCAGTGGGAATGTAAATTTGTGTGGCCACTGTAGGAATCAGTGTGGAGATTTCTTTAAAAAATAAACTACCATATGATCTAGCCAAACCATTCTTGGGTACTATGTGAGGGACTCAAGTCAGCACACCATAGAGACTTAAGCATCCATATCACTGCACTATTCACAGTACCCAGGACTTGGAACCAGTCTCAGTGTCCATCAGCAGATGAATGGATGAAGAAAATGAGATGCACGTACACAATGGAATTTTATGCAGCCATAGTGAAGAATATTTACAGGAAAATGAATGGAACTGGAAATCCTTACATTAAACAAAATTAAGCTACCCAGGCAAAGACTGTGTGTTTTCTCACATGGAATGTAGATTGTTTATTTTTTAAATTAAAAATATGTGTGTTATACCTGCATGTATGTAACTGTACCCATGTTGTACAGTGCCTGTAATGACAGCAGAGAGCATATGATCCCCTGGAACTGGAGTTACAGACAGTTGTTAGCCATGATGTAGTTTCTGGGATTTGAACCAAGGTCCAAGAGCAACCAGGTCTTAACCATTGGGCCACCTCTCTAACCCAGAACCTAGATTTTAAAATGTATGTGTGTGGATATGTGTATGTATTTATACATCTGTATTTATAGATCATGAAGCTATAAAGGATTATGAGAGGAGAGGAAGAGATCTTAAGGGAAATGGGAAATAGGTAATAGAATACATATGATAAAGGGTCGGAGAGATGGCCCCGTGGTTAAGAGCACATACTGCTCTTGCAAAGGATCTGACTTCAGTTCCCAGCACCTGTATCAGGTAGTTCACAAGTGTTTATAACTCGAGCTCCAGAGGATCCAACACCTCCTGAACTCTGTGGGCATCTGTGCTCATGTGCACATGCCCACCCACAGGCACACACATATATACATAATTTAAAATATAAAATCCTTTGGTTTTTGTTTTGTTTTGTTTTGTTTTGAAATACAGAGGAAGTTAATTTTTTTAACTTAAAATTAGTGACTAGAGGAAAGTCTTGCTTAACTTGATCTTCTAAGTTTGAAAAGTATTTCATCTTTATTAAAATTTCCTTTGCTTTTTCAAAGTCGCCTTGTTCAAAAGTGCTGTTTTATTATCAGTAAATTCTTTGTTTAGCTCTGACAGATTAGATCTCTTCCATGGCAACTTCATTTTGAGTTTCGGCAAGTTTTTCATTGATTTCCATTATCTCCTTGAGGAGCTGACTGTTTCATAATCTGTGCCTTCAGGAATTTCTGTTCCTTGGAGTTTCAGAAGGTACAGTCCTCTGCTCAGCGGGGCCTAAAGGGTTTTATAGTCATCGTTCCAGGGTTAAATGCTTCTCTGAGAAGTCCTTTTCAGTCTGAGACCTTTGGCTGAAATCTCGGTGGACAAGGCGCTGCAGTTGCTGGTACCTGTGTTGGAGATTCCCCGTGTCCACGCTGAAGGATCAGTTACAATCCCTGAAGCTGAAGTAGTTTCGAGTGGCGTCCGGAGGCAGCGCGCAGTAGTACAGGCCGAGGCCGAAGAATCCGTCGGTCCGCCCCCCACGCCCCGCCCGGGGCCCCCCTGTACCACCACAGCTCTGCAGCACACCGCTTCTCTCCTGAAAGGCTGCTGCAGCTTCGCAGCCTCCTTCCAGGGACCCCCTCAAATATAAAATCTTTTAAAAAATAAAAGTTTTTAAAGTTTTTTTGTGTGTATGAATATTTTACCTCTATGTATGTAAATGCACCATGTGTGAGCAAGGGCCACAGACCAGAAGAGGGCATCAGATCCCCTAGAACTGGCGTTTGGGGATGGTTTTTAGCTGCCCTGTGGGTGTTGGTAACTGAACCTGGGTCCTCTGTAAGAGCAGCCAGTGCTCTTAACTGCTGAGCCATCTCTCCAGACCCAGAAAAGAAAAAAAAAAGTGTGTGTGTGTGCATATATAGAGAGAGAGGGAGAGAGAGAGAGAGAGAGAGAGAGAGAGAGAACGTGATAAAAACACAGAAATGGGGACTAGCAAGAAAAAGAAAGAAAGAAAGAAAGGAGCTAGCCTGGGGTGGGACAGGTATGCCAGGGAGAGCAGTGGGAGGGAGGATGAATGCGAACAAAGTGTAATGACATGCGGGTATGAGGATGCCATGACAAAACCCATTGCTGTACATGCTAACCTAAAAGATTATTATTATTAATGTCTTTTTGAGACAGGGTCTCCCTGTAACCACAGCTGGCCTGGAACTCACTGTGAAGACCAGGCTGACCTTGATCTCACAGAGATCCTCCCACCTCTACCTCCTGGGTGCTGGGATTAAAGGTGTTTGCCTCCACACCCAGCTAAAAGATTAAGTTTTAAAAAGAATCCTTCTGCCAGGCATGGTGGCACATGCCTTTAATCCCACCACTCAGGAGGCAGAGGCAGACAGATCTCTGTGAGTTCTAGGCCAGCTGGGGCTACAGGGAGACCCTGTCTCAAAAAGACAAAACTTATGTAAATAAACTTTCTCAGGTTGGCTTATAAAACAAGTATAGTTCTTACATTTCAGCGAGGGTTTTTTTTTTTTCACATTTTTATCTTGCATTGAAATGTTTCTAAGATTTGAAAAATGTAGAAAATGAATTCAAACAAAAGCATATTGCTATAATTCATCTTATGAATATTTACCAGGGGTGTTTTAATAGTTTTGACAGTTTATAATAAATTAGCCAATTGTTTATAAGAATCTTTTAATACATTGTAGAAATACTAAGCATCTTTTTCAAAAACAATTTGAAAGTCTAATTTTTAAATTTTCTTTGGTCATTTAACTTTGAAAATGTTTAGACAGAAAAAAATTAAAATTAGCATTGTTATTCAAACTTCATAAATAAGTGGCAAAGATAGTTTTTTAAAAATTAAGCTTTCAATTATATTTTTAAACTAAGTTGGCAGCCCTTTTACTTTGGAAATTACAAAGCTCAAGCTACACTAAGCCAGTCCAGACACCAAAGATACTTGCTTTATAGAGTGGTTCACACTTGATTCAGTCCAGGCCACTCCACAGGTTAAGAGGCAGGCCTCTGAGGACTAGTCCAGGAATTTGATTCTCTGTCTAAGTTTCAGGTTGTAAAAATTACAGGCTACACATTTAAGAATGAAAACAACATCTGTAAATGCCCTTGATAATGTGACTCAGGATGCAGAAATAAGTGTAGCTGCTATAAACATACACACATTGTATAGGTTAGGATTGGTGGTCTTTGTTGAAATGCATTGTGGTCTAAATTCTTTGATGAATAAGTAAGGAGTGAAGTTCATCTGCCAATATAGGGTCCAGACGGCAAGCCTTAAAATCAAAGAGAAGAGAGTCAGGTGACATATTCCCATTGCTCAGGACTTCTGTTTTTAAAAATAGTAAGAATTTCAAGGAAATATCTTTCTTGTGTATAGTGCTACAGATCAAATCCAGGGCCTTGTTTATGCCAGGCAAGTACTCTACCTCTGAGCGTATTATACCTCAGCTCTCAAGAGAATTTATTTTTCTTTAAAATTTTTTGTATTACTTCTCCTAAAATATTACTGGGGTGAGTGGGAGCATGTGCTAAGGCATGTGGGGTTCAGAGGACAACTTGGTGGAGTTAGTTCTCGCCCTCCTTTATATGAGCTCTGGGCTTTGAACTCAAGTTGCCAGGCTTTCATAACAAGTACCCTTATCCTCTGAACCATCTCATTGGCCCCTAAGGGATTTTTTTTTAAACTTTTTATATTATGTGCACATGTGTGGATTGCCCTTGTAGGCTAGAAGGTGTCAGATCCCCTAGAGTTAGAATTACAGGCAGTTGTAAGCCGCATGACATGGGTGCTGGGAACCAAACTTGGGTCTTCTCTAAGAGCAACCAGAGTGCTTAACTGCTGAGCCATCTCTCTAGCCCCAAGGAAATTCTTAATTAAGATGCTTTGTATTTTGATATCCTAAAAGAAATAAAGGTTTAAGTTAAACTACATGAAATGAATCAAAACAACCCTGTTATTTGAAATGGGAAAAACATCAAAACAGTATAAAAAGAAGTTAAGCATTATATGTTAATATCAAAAGAGGGAGCTGGAGAGATAGCTCAGTGGTTAAGAGCCTTGCTGCTCTTGCAGAGGACCAGAGTTTGCTTCACACTACTTGTGATTCCAGCTCCAGAGGATCTGACACCCTCTTCTGAACTCTGTAGGTACCTGCACACACATGTGCACAGACGCTCAGATATGCACATATACACATATCTTTTAAAGTATAAACAAAAATCATTCTAATAAATGAAATGGAAAACATTAACGTTCAGCCTCAAGCTGTTCTTACACCATTATGTGAACAACAGAGTCTATAATTTGGGATCTGCCTGCCTCTGCCTCCCAAATGCTGGGATTAAGGCATGTGCCACCATGCCTGGCTATAATTTGTTTTAAAATAAATAGTTTTATTATGTTTAAATAGTGATATATAGAAAGTGTTAAGGTGCATGATTTCTAGAATATCAGGTGTTTGGCAGAGACATCAGAGGTTACCTAGTGCAAACTCCAGAACAGAAATTGTCTCTTCATATCCAAGGCATTGGTCACAAGCTGCTTAAGTTGCTGTTTGTGAGAAGTCACCATCTTATAAAGAAAACTTTGTATTTGTTTCTGAAACTGTGACACTAAAAAGATTCTTCCTTACGTTAAACTGAAATTTCTCTCCTCATGCTTTAGAATCATTGGCAGGTCCTAGGAGAATATACAACACTTAGAAACTCTAAGAGACAAAGTCACTAGCCTGACAGTGAGCTGAGGCCAGGCATGCATCAAGGCCTGAAGTCCAGGTCCTGCTGTCTTACTGCTCTACCTTTTCTGGAGCATAGTCATTGGCTCTGATTCTCTTCCTTCCCCACAGTTCCTTTTTGTAGGACACTATCACTTCAGTGACCATCACTGTCAGGACCCCCTCATATTTTGCTCTGAATGAAATGGTCTCCATTTCTTTTTGCATGCCTCTTTGGATATAATTATTCTAGACCCCTCACTCATTTACAGCCTCTATTTTCTCCATTTTATCAGCTTTCCCCATAGTATACAATGGCCTAATTAGGTTCAGTGATCTACATGTAGTCTTAGTGTATGCACTGATAGCAGCAGGGCTGTTGTCTCCCATTATGTGGAAAACAGTTCTAATATTACTGTTTGTTCACTGTTTTTTTTAGGATGTATATACCACGTTTCAGGTCTTTTTTTTTTTTTCCTAACTTTTTCTCCATATTTAGAAATGATTCTATGGATGATATAGAACGTAAAACTGATTTGGAGATTGGTATAATGCAGAAAGCATTTAGATTAGCTTTGTTCACATTCATTGCTCATACTACTACAATGGTGGGATGTTAAATATCCCAGAGGTCAGCTATGTTCATTATGTTGGAAATTTTATTTTGAACACAGTAGTTCAGGGTTCTTAAACTTGGCTTTACATTAGAATCCCCTAGGGAAATTCAGCAGGTATGGTGGTAGCCCATTCCCAGATACTGTGACTTAGTTTTTCCAAAGTAAAGCCTGGGATGGAATTCATAAGTGATTTTTAATATGCAGAGTAGTTTAAGTAGTATAATATCAGATTTCAGACAAAAAATAAAAATAAAACCGGGTGTGGTGGCGCACGCCTGTAGTCCCAGCACTTGGGAGGCATAGGCAGGCAGATTGAGTTCAAGGCCAGCCTGGTCTACATAGTGAGTTCCAGGACAGCTGGGGCTACAGGGAGACCCTGCTTCAAAAAAGACTGAAAAAATTAAAAATAAAACCACGTTCCTTTGTTCCTGATTGCAAAGTTAATGGTGATGGTGATGCTGCTGGGCATGGTGGCACTAACCAACCGTAATCTCAGAGCCCCTCAAGGCAGCGGGATTGTCATGCATTCCAGGCCAACCTAAGCTACATAGTGAGAACTATCTCAAAAAGCTACTCACACAGGGTGAATTATGGAATTGTCATTTGTGCTCATGAATGTCATGGACCTAAGATTTGTAGAGCTTTTTAAAAAATTCATTACAGTTACTAGTCACAATGCCCCCCCCAAACCTATCCAACAGTTACTGTGAAAGTGACCCTATAGATTAAAATAGGAAAAGGTAAGTACTCACACTCATGAGATTTTTAATTGTTGTAGCTGTGTTGCTTTAAAGACATTAAAAACTTTGTCTAATTATGATATTAGAATGAAGACATAACCCTTTTTCTTGGTGAAGACATGAACATTTTGGCCCTATGAGCTTGGTGGTAGGCCCTTAGCTGCAGGTGGCAGCAGATTTAAAGAGACTTATTTACACCAAAATAGGACTTCGTGTTATCTGAGCTTAATTATGCTATCAAGAACCAACCAAAAATGTATACAACTCTGCACAGCCTCTCAAATAACTGCAGGTTATTGGCACAGTAATTAGTAAACACAGTAATCAGAAAACTGTTCAACTTTTAAGGAAAACCCAGCCCTTCCTAGTTAGGTGAATTCCTCTGCCATTCCCAAGCTTACTTTAGAATAATAGTGCTTGGCAGCTGCTTCATCTTTTGGGATGCCCAAGCCAAGCTGGAGACACCGTGCATAGTAGAAGGACGCCATGGCCATGCCTTTGCTGATGAACTCTGGGAGACAGTCGGTGACCTGGGCTATCATGTGGATGTTGTGAACCTCATCGTAGTCTGCTATCCTGATGGGATGGATGTGAATGGTGAAATTTAAAAGGATGTCAGTTTGACATTTTCATAAAGCAATGTGTGGAAATTTTGTGTTCCAAGTGATACCTGTTTCCTTTTGAGAAGTAGGTTGCTGTGCTATGAAGGGTTTAAGGAACACAATCCACTAACTGCAGAGAAAGATAAGCTAGACAGAGAATAGCTTCCTTGTCATGCACATCAGGCTTAGCCATCAGAAACAAATATTTTTCTTATTGATATTTTAAGTTTAATATGAACAAATTAAGAGAGTGGTAAGAATTCTATGTTCCTTTGGCTCACACATTGAAACATCAACTTTAAATCTGGGCAGTAGTCACACAGTACCACTTTAACACTTCAAGAAACTAGTATATCTTGAAAATGTGCAACAAAATAGCTAGCTTTCACAATCGAGATGCAAATATGGAGATTTCTGTGAAAATCAGGTCTAGCTGGGTGTGGTGGTGCACACCTTTAATTGCAGCACTTGGGAGGCAGAGGCAGGTGGATCTCTGTGAGTCTGAGGGCAGCCTGGTCTCCAAAGCAAGTTCCAGGCCAGCAGGCCAGCTGGGGCTACAAGGAGAGTCTGTCTCAAAATGGCCAAAAAAAAAAGAAAAAGAAAAAGAAAATGAGATCTAGTCAACTCCATGTTAACCACAATGTTAGTGGGAATAGGAAAGTGGAAAACAAAAGATTTTAAAGATCTGTTCAGGCTTGGGAGATGGCTCAGTGGGTAAAGGTGCCTGCCACCAAGCCTGATGACCTAAGTTCAATTCCTGGCACCCACTTACTTTAGGACACAAGAAAGTGTAAGAACAGTTTTTAAAAAGAATTGCTCAAAGTCTTAGGTTGAGCCAGGTTGGGCACTGCTTGGGAGCACAGAAAGACTCCTTTAAGTGGCCTGCTGCCTGACAGCTAAGATGTTGTCAAGGAAAAAGGAAGAACAGTTCCTTCTTGCTTTATCTTCTCTTGATCTCTGCCCCTCCCTGGGGCTTGGAGTAAGGTTGAGCGTGATCGGGAAGTAGGATCAACAGTCCCAGTCTGATGGTCCTCCAGAAAGTGTCTAGTTCTCTTATCCCTGGTCGGTTGCTGCTTTTATACAGTGTGTGTAAACAAATGTAGAAAACGACATGGAACTTTATGGACTCAGTAAAGTTTCCAAATAGTTCATGACATGTGTGAGTCTTTGAACACTATCATCACTTAAGCTATATTTCAATTGCTCAGTGATAGAAATGCATGACAGGAATAATTAAAGTTTACTTAATAGACATTTCTAATATGTCCATTTATGCTAAGTATTATACACTATTATAATCCTGCTATAAAAGTATTTTCTGCTTACAAATAAAGGAATTGGTGTTTTAAAAAGTTAAGAAATATGCTTCAGCTAATAGCTCTGAAATCCTGATGGTGATTGGCATAGAATTGTGCTAGCCAGTATGGTCACCACTAGATATACTGGCTATTTAATTAAAATTGGATAGTTTAAAAGTCCAGACCTTAATGGCATTAGAATATTTAACGTGCCCAGCAGCTTTCATTCCAACATTACAGAATGTTTTGTTGGATAGATCTAATATAGAATACCCCATGGTTCTTGTAAGTACCTGCATCCGTATTGTTACCGAAATCTTACTGTGGTGTGAATGTTTCCTCTGCAACATTCATTGCTACCAGTGTGACAAAATTAAGAGATGACTAGGTCACAAAGGCCCTCCCTCCTTTATGGGATTAAGGCCCTTCTGTAGGAGGCTGCACACGACCTTTGAGTGGTTTGCCCTTTGACATTTCCCCCACATGAGGACATAGCATGAGGTTCTTCTGGAGAATGCAGCCCTCGCCAGTCAAATGAACTTGTCAGTGCCTTGATCTTGGCTTACAGACTACAGAAATTTGAGAAACATATTTCTGTTTATTATAAATTACCCATCTACTGTAGTGGTATAGCAATACAAAAACTGAGTCACCTTTTGGAAAACGTAACACACTTCGTAAAAAATTTCATCTTGTAGTAATACTCTACAAGAGTCCCTTGGGCGTAGACATTCCCACGTTCAGCTGCTTCTTGTAAGCACTGCAGGGCAGCCTCAGTATCCTGGTGGATTCCCTGTCCGTAAAAGTACATAAGACCAAGTGCACCCTGGGACTCCAGATTTCCATTGCCACAAGCTTCTGAGTGCCAGAAAAATGCCTAAGAAAGCACAATTTCACTTTATTATTTTCAAGATGAAATTATGGGGGAATGCTGCCAAGAAAAAAAAACCCTAATTATACAATCTATCTCCAGGAAATGGTTCAACAGGAATGCCCCTTGAATGTATTTACACTGGCACTGAATGCACGTTGCCGAGGGGAGTTTCACAGGCAAAGTGTGTTCATGACAGTGGAAGATCAGCTGTCTCAGTTTTCAGATTCAAGATGGGAAAGATGTAAAGCAGCCCTAGGAAGAAACATGCTGCGAGGAGGTGTCATCAGGAGAATGTTGATGCTAAGGGAGAGCTAGAACTTGTGTTAGTTTTCTTGTGCTATGACCAAATTCCTGACAAGAAGCAACTTAAGCAATGAAGGGTTTATATTGGCTCATGGTTTGCGCCTTCATGTCAGGGAAGGCATGGCAGCAGGAGATGGCTGGTCACATCCCCTCCGCAGTCAGGAAGCAGACGGTGGTCCGGAAGTGTTAACAGGCAGTAAAAAACCCTCAGGTTCTGCCCCTTTCTCCAACAGCCTCCATCTCCTGAAGATTCCACATCCTTCCAAAGCAGTGCAGCAGCTGGGACCCAAGTGCTCAAATATAAGCCTGTGGGGGGCATTTCTGTTCAAACCAGCAAAGAGCTCCGACATCAGAGACAACTGGGGATAAAAACTGAACATAGTTTGTACTTGTTACTTTTCTCATTGCTGTGACCAAATAGCAGACAGAAAGCAATTTAAGAATGGGATGTTTTATTCCGGCTTGCAGTTTGAGAAGGGCACTACTGTTCACCATGGTGGGGAGGTTGGAGAGGCGGGAGCTAGCTTGCGGCGGCTGGTCATGTTGAATAAGCAGTTAGAAATCAGAGAGAAAGATTCATGTGCTTGCTCAGCTAGCATTTTCATTTTTCATTTTTAAAGCGTTTATTCATTGTACTGTATGTAAGTGTGTGTGTGTGTGTGTGTGTGTAAAACTTGTGGGACTTCATTCTATGTGTGTGTGCATGTGTGTGTGTACTTATGTGACCCGTGGAACTCCATTATGTGTGTGTGTGTGTGTGTGTGTGTGTATGTGTAAAACCTGTGGGACTCCATTCTATGCGTGTGTACTTGTGTGTGTGTGTACTTATGTGACCTGTGGAACTCCATTCTGTGTGCGTGCGTGCGTGTGTGTGTGTGTGTGTGTGTAAAACCTGTGGGACTCCATTCTCTGTGTATGTGTGACCTGTGGGACTCCATTCTCTGTGTATGTGTGACCTGTGGGACTCCATTCTCTCTTTCTGCCACGTGGGTTCAGGGGATGAAACTCAGGTTGTAAGTCTTGGTGGCAAGACCCTCACCTGCTGCGCCATCCTGCTAACCCAGCTTTCTCATTCTGAGACCCCCAACCCAAGGCCTGGTGTCACATTTAAAATGGGTCTTCCCACCTCCGTTAACCTAATCTAGATAATCTTTTACTGGGCTGCCTGGAGGCTTGTCGCCTTAGTAATTGTAGATCCTGTCAAATTGACAATCCCTGTTAACCACTGCATGGTCTCAAACCCATTTGCCTAGCACTCAACCACCATGAATCTGAATTAGTTTAAGAAATTATGTCCACATGACTGCTCAAGTATCTGAAGGCAGTCTCAGCTGTTATCTGCTTCTTACTAATTTTCTATTAACGCTTCTCAGGCAACTAGGACCTTTCTTGTAGGATTTCTTTTCTTTTTTTAAATATTTTAAAGATATATTATTATTTTTATTTTATGTATATGTGTGTATTGCCTGCATGTATGTAAGTGCAGCCGTGTCATGCAGTCCCCCGGGAGGACAGAAGAAGTTGTTGAATACCTTGGAACTGACAGTTGTTAGCTGCCATGTGGTTGCTGGGATTCAAACCCAGGTCTTCTGCAAGAACAGCCAGTGCTCTTAACTGCTGAGCCATCTCTCCAACCCTCGTGGTAGGATTTCTTATGAAACCTTCCAATCACTGATGATGTTATATTTTCATAGAAATATAATAGCCTTAAGCCAGGCATGGTGGCCTTTTAATTCTTTGTATATTTTACTATCAGTGTCATGTGTTACTTCTTCAAACCAAAGGAAGTATTAATTTACTCAGGCTTAAAAGATTTGTGGCATAATTTTAGGAATATATTTTTTCTTTTAGTTTCTGCAGTGCTATATTTTGTATATGTAAATTTTCCTAGCATACAAAGATTTTCTTTGGTAAAAGCAGGGAAGGCAGTGTCTAAATAAAGGAAAGGAGATCTGTGGTGATTCATCTTCACTGTCAACTTGATTGAGAAATTCTAAGATAATAAATCACACTTCTGGGTATGTGTGCAAGGGGTTTCCAAAGGAGATTAAGGGGGTGAACCTGAAGGGTAACATGACCCTCTAGGCTGATGGGCATGGGGTCAGGATGGAACAAAATGGGAGCTGGATGAAGCCTGCTGCTGCAGCATTCTCTTTGTGCTTCCTGGCTGCACTGATGTGAGCAGTAAGTTGTTCTGTCACATAATTGTCACAGTGATGGAAAATCTAGCACAATTCTGAACATATGAACTTCCTTAGTATGTTTAAGGAAATACAAGAGCTAATCAAAACTACCCACTTATCCTCCAGTTTCTTCTCAAAGAACAAGAAATTACAACTAATTAAAAAAACAATTAAAAGCTAATGCTAATATTAAAAAGGAAGAAGAGAAGCTGGATGTGGCTCGCTATTTGAGTTCTTGCTTAGCATAGGCAAGGCCTAGGTTTTGAGCCCAGAACTAATACATAAATAAATGAAATTTAGAAATAGGAAGGGGGTTTTTACCTTTTCTAACTGTTTGGGCTCTTTTGTTGAATAGTACAGTCCTAGAATACTTTGAGCCTTCACGCTAGCTTTTGGATTTCCATTGTCCGCAGCAAGAAGCCACAGTCTAAAGAGAAAACAAGGCAAGTTGTTCTTTGTTTCAACATTCAGTAGCACAAGATCTTACTTTGAGGTAGGGTTACCTTTCAGCTTCCTCATCAGATCGTTTTACACCTTTTCCTTCATAATAAGCTCTTCCAAGGTTATAAGCAGCAGCAAGCTTTAAGTGTCTTGTTTGGGGACATGCAGAATCAAGAATTTTCCTCATACAGTCCACTCCTTTTTCCTTCCACAAAGGAAAAAAAAAAACGTAGTTTTTAGTTTTACTCAAACCAATGTCTTTCTTCCTATCCTCTGCAGTTTTCATGTTTAACATGATGTATAAAGCCACAAGCCTAAACAGTATATTTGTTCTGGGTTTTCAGGGCTAAAGATAAGGAAGGAAATAATGTATAAAAGTCCATTTGCTTATCAGGCATTTTCAGAAGCTGTGGGGTGTAAATCTGACCGTCTTCTCAAGCATGCACTTACTCAGCATGCTCAGTAATAACGTACACTCAAACTGCTAAGGATGCCTATGTATGACCTTCAGATACATATATGTATACGCCTTCATATGAGACCTTCACAGTCACACAGAGGGCATTCTATCCATGAACAACAAAACATCTCCTTTGGCCTAGCAAGAAGACTCTGTGGGTAAATACACTTGCTGACAAGCCTGACAACCTGCGTTTGCTTCCCAGAGCCCATAGAGTGGAAGGGGAGAACCAGTTCCTGCAAAATGTCCTTATGTGTGCTGTGGAACATGCATTTACACAGAATGGGTATGTACACATACACACATATTAAATAAATACTATAACAAATAAATAATTGTAAAAAAGACTTGAAAGCCGGGTGTGATGGTGCATGCCTTTAATTCCAGCACTTGGGAAGCAGAGGCAAGCAGATCTCTGAGAGATGAAGGCCAGTCTCATCTACACAGTGAGTTCCAGGCCAGCTGGGGCTATAAGAGAGACCCTGTCTCAAAACAACCAAAACAACAACAAAAAGATTTGAGATGAAGTCTCCCCTTAAAATTCATCAGAAACAAACCTTCAAATATCATTCAGAAAAGAAAATAATAGAAAGTTAAACACATTTGTATATTCGCATTTTAGCTTTTTTTCTCTTTCTCACAACTCCCTCAAAATGCTTTTATTGACCAAACGCTATGATGATGCTGTGATCACAGAAAACCCTGCAGAGGAGTAACATTCAGGCAGAGACTGAAATGGCGACAGGAGAACAAAAGAGCAGTATTGGGCCGGGCATCGTGGCACACACCTTTAATCCCAGTACTCAGGAGGCAGAGGCAGGATCCAGGCCAGCCTTTTCTACATAGTGAGTGCATAGCCAGCTGGGGCTACAGGGAGACACTGTCTCCAAAACAAAACAAAAATAAGAGATGACCAAAACTTCTTTGTCTAAGAAAGGAAGACAAGCCCAATTTTGTTTTGGAGACTTCGAGCTGCCTTGACACTTTGGTGTGTTGACTGAGAAGGAATTCACTAACTTGGTTGCACTAACATGACTCATTTCCAAAGATTAGTAAGCCAACAGAATGGAGAAGATAAAAGTTTCTGCACTAGGAAAGTTAAAAGGCAGATTCTGAGCCAAGAGGAATTGACTGAGGAACCTTACATGGGCCTTTGGAAGCAAGCTTGCTGGTTTTCTATGGGAACACCCAGTGATGCTCTTTTATTTAGAGCTTTTTCAAAAAATATTTTAAAAGATTTTGAATTATCTGTATGTATGTGTGCCTGTACATGCGAAAACAGTGCCTGCAGAGATCAGAAGAGGGTGTTGGGTCCCTGGGAGATGGAGCTTTTAACTTTGGAAACAATACTTAGTATTATTTTTAGATGGGTTTATTCTGAATAAATAATGAGTTTTATGAAACTGATTTTTTGCACATACTAAAACCATCATGGTTTCCTTTAAACAATTAAAGTAGTATATTTACAGATTTGCTTGTGTTGCATTATTAAGCTTCTGACTTCAAAACACTTGGCTGTGATATGCTGGTCTTTCCCTGCATTACTGAGTCTATTTGTAACAAATGGAAATATTTTACCATATTACCAGATGCCATGGTAATTTTCTCAGAACATAGCATCTTTCTCCAGGAAAGTTCCTCAAAAAATCCCTGAGATAGCAGTGTTGTCAGATTGGGACCACGAGACAAATATTTACTCAGTCTACTATGGTCTGACACTGAGTTCCTGGGCATAGAGCAATGAACAAGAAGGTGAACCTGGTTTGTGAAGCTTGCTTTCCACGGAAGGAGAAAGAAGTTAAACAGAAAACAAATCCCAAATAGCCATAAGGCTGTGAAGAAAATAAAGGTTGTTATTTTAACAGTATAAGCATTGAAAACCTCTAAGAAGAGAAACGTCTGAACAAAGACCGAACAGATGAAGCCAAATGAAAGGATGACGAAGAGGCTTTGCATCTGAAAACAGGATGTATTTAGTTTTCTGTCAGACAAAGATGGGGCCAAAGGAAAACACACAGAAAGAGGCCAGGATGGGGTGGAAAGAAAGAAGACTTGGTAAGATTTTGAAGAATCATGACAGTGTAGTCACGGCTCAGTCTTTCATGGAGGACTAAACACAATGAATGAGAAGCAATCCACAGTTGGAGATTTATTATTTGTTCGGTAAATTTAAGTCGCTCTTTTTTAAAAATAAATTCTGGTTGAATGTGGATATTTTGAAGGTTTTAAAAGTACACAGCTGTGAATGTTACCCCACCATTACTAAATTTTCTTAATACTTATTTTTCTAGATAGTTTAGCCTTTAATATAATTTATATGTAAATATGGGAACATTAAGTTAGAAAGCACAAATAAAAATAAAACCAACACTTTCAAACAATTTCCATTCTAGAGAAAGACATAAAAAGTTTCATTCTATATATAATGAATATATTATGACATCAGTTTACTTATGAAAGAACGACTACTTCCTTCATAATTTCTAAGTTCTCTTTTACTCTCCTAATCTCCAGTTAATATTAGTAGCCAACTGACTAATCTCTTGTTATTGCAGCATTGATAAATATCTATGAAACACATCGCATGGTGACAGTGAACACCCAAAAATGTCTTGAGACTTTTGATAATATTTAAAAACTTTTTATTTATTATTTTTATCTTATGTGTATGTGTGTATTGCCTGCATATAGGTACATGCACCTGTGTCATGCAATGCCCAAGGAGGTCAGAGAGGCTGTTGGATCCCCTGGGAATGGAGTTACGGACAGTTGTTAGCTGCCATGTTTGTGCCGGGATTCAAACCTGGGTCTTCTGCAAGAACAACCAGCGTTCTTAACCACTGAGCCATCCCTCCAGCCCCAATAATATTTTTATTTACTTTGTGTGCATGTGTCTATGTGAGGGGATGCATGCCACGGTGTGTGTGTGCCGGTCAGAGAACCACTTGGGGGAGTCAATTCTCTCATTCCACCGTGTGGGTCCCAGGGATCAAACTCAGGTTGTCAGGTGTGGCAGCAAGTGCCTTGCCTTTACCAGCTGAGCCTTTTCACCAACCCCGATGATATTTTTTATAGGCATCTTGTGTTTTGTATTAACAACATTGTTATAAAAACAATATTCTTGAAAATCTAGCAGGTTGAGAAAATCAGCTGAATATGGTATACTTCCCTATAATGTAAGCAATATTATTTAATGAATCAAATCAAGATAGAATGAATCACTTGAGATTAACTTGTTTTACCATATATTTAAAATGTCTGAGTGAATTGGTGAATTAATATGTGTAATAATCCTACTATCTTCACCTATTCATCTTACTGGCGATTAATCTTGTTTAAAATGTTTTCTACAGTAGGTTTTAATACAGTTCCCTAAAATCTGCTTTATTATTTGAAGATCAAAAGAGATTCATGAAACTATGATGTCAATTTGCATTCTGACCTTGATTATTTTGTTAATTTTTGCAATGTCAGAAATAGAACCAGGACCTCACACAAGCTAGCCAAAAGCTCTACCACTGAGCTAAACCCTCACCCCTTGACTTCAAGGATATATCATAGGCTATAATGGTCAGGCAGATTAAGTGGTAACTGCCATGGAATATAGTTAGGGTGTTTAGCTGACACTGAGAGTCCTGTTTGAGCCCAGGCTCCTGTGTATGATTTTCAAGTGACTAAGCCATTTTTTTTTTTTTTTTAATCTCCAGTACAGTCAATGGGCCGTTGTTGGCTACCAGCATTTTCCATGTCAGTCAATATGCTGACTGGACTGGAGAAGCTGGATTTCAGCTGCTGAAAGAGGTTTCACACCTTTGCTCAAGTTGCTTTCTCTGTCTTAAACGCCATTCCTTCCTTCACTTGCTTTCCTGAATCAGCTCCAGTTTGTATCAACTGTTCATGAAAACTTTCCTGACTGCACCCGTTTGCCTGGCACAGGCATCTATCTCAGGCCACAACATTTAGCTGCACTGATTGTCTTCCTCAGACTGTCAGTCTCTTTCATACTCAACTCTCCAGCACCTAGGACTGTTTTACATCATTTGAAATGTGTAGGCATTAAAGGCTGAATAAATAATATATTAAGTAAACTAAATCAGCATGCAAAGTTCATAAACTGGAGCACATAACTCACAGACAGCATGGCAAGCATTCCCAAGCCCTTTCTAGCCTCATTTATGTTCTTCATGGGCAGTTGGAAGGATGACTGTAACCTCCATGAGGGCACTAGTGCAAAAAAAAAAAAAAAAAAAAAAAAAAAAAACACTCTACTTCCTCAAATACTAGGACTTACTTGTATTCTAAGTGGTAGATTTGTAGATGAATTGATGTGGAGTCAAAGAAACAGTTGCATATTAAGCATCTGCAGAAAGATAAGTGATTTGCTTTATGGATCTCAGAATGCATTTTTTGTGTAAATAGTCTTTAAAAGGTACAGGAGGTGTTAGTCTTGAGACTGTGCATCACTTTGGGAGAAAGGTGGACTAGGGCTGAGGTCTAGATTCTTAAGTACTTCAATGTTTAGACAAAAGAAAAGGTAGATGAGAAGTAGGAGACAGACACAAGACTGCCTTCTAAACACGTGGCAGTGGCATAAAAATGTGTACAGCAGCACTTGAGGGAATCACATAAAGTAAAGGTATCTTAGACCTTAAGAGACCAGTGTTTCAAGAAAGAAGAGGTCAGCTGGGTTTACTTTGAAGGAAGGACATTGTAGTCATGAATTCTCTGTGCCACTAAACTATACC